TGTGTAAATATTGAACATCATGAAAAACCTTTTTTTTCAGACTGAAAACCTGAGAACAGCGTTAAGCTATGATGAGCTAGAGAGAAACCATTTTAATTATAATTGCCAGAGATTAGTCAAAACACACAATGGGAAACACAAAACACAATGAAATGGGAAATACAAAATGATAAAAATGATACAATAGACTTGATATAGTTAAAAAAGAAAAACGAAATTGTTGACTGTCCACCTAAAAAACTGAGAAAAGTTTGACTGTGTCCAAGTACATGACATGGGCTTTCTTTCCTTACAATAATCACCCTGAGTCATCCCCCAAAAGACCATTCGTGTTCCTTGCAATCATCAAAAGGTTAACAGACCCCTCTACTAAATCATAACTTAACGTTATGTGCAAGGAGACAATTTTGCATCATTTGGGTTTTTTAAAGTGTTATATTCCACCCACTCAATCAAACAATTAGAAATAGTTTTCTACACTTATCTCTTCCTTTATTGGAGCAAAAATCTTTTTGTGATGTTGGAAAGCAAATTTGCTTCAACTATGAAGATCAGATAGCACATATATTCGATAACATCAAATATATTATTGCTTTGAAACTAGTTTTATATATTTATTTTATGCTCTCATAATTTTCGTTTGCCATTGTAGATATTATTTCTTGTTTACATAGTGAAGGTATAATCATTAAAGAAGATAGATGCTTAAAACATTCTGCCAGACTTAATCCTAGTAAAAGTGGAGAGAATTACAGCCTAAAGTTGTTTAATGATGCACCATATTTTTTTGTGTTATGTTTGACATTTCAAAGTTTAAAGTATTCGTAAGCAACCCCTAATTCATCAAACCTTTTTTTTAAAAAAAAAAAAAAGAATCAAGCACATAAGAAGAGTTGTATAAAGCATTTAAAACAAGTGCTTACCAAAGTAAGTTACTACAAATTGAGGACCTCTCTTTGAAGCATAAGAGTAAGGTTGCTCTGAGAGTTTCTGCATATATCTGTGCATAAGAGCCATGATGGTGCGGTAGTTAGAACGCAGTATTGCAGTCTAATTATCTCCACAGCCAGGAGTTTCATCCTGACTGGCTCAAGGTTGACTCAGCCTTCAACCTTCTGAGGTTGGTAAAATGGGGGCCCATATTGTTGGGGGCAATATGGTGACTGTAAAAAACTTAGAGAAGTCTGTAAAGCACTGTGAAGCGGTATATAAGTCTAAGTGCTACTGCTATATGCATTTCTTAGGTTTTACTGGCAGTCTCAAAAACACTATCAGTTCATGCATACACAACACATGCAGACTTTTGAAGCAGGTGTGCAAACCTTCTAAAAGATACAACTGCTTTTATGCTTTGAGGAAGGGAGCATTGCTGACAGTAACACACACTGGAGTCCTTTGAGGTAGGCCAGAGGAAAGAGACCCAACAAGAAATATTAGAATTTATGTTCTATGTCAGAGGTCCCCAAACTTTTGGGCATCAGGGACCGATTCCCTAGAGAGAGGTTTTTCTGTGGACTGGAGGGGGTGTGGTTTCGTGTGCTGCCTGAATCCCGTGGGTGGGGCTTTGCTTATTTGCGCGGCCCAGTTTCTGGCATGCCGCAGACCAGTGCTAGTCCATGGACTGGGGGTTGGGGACCCCTGTTCTATGTTATATAAGCTTTAACAACAGAATTTGAAACACTGACAGCAGCCCAAAGTCAATGTGGGGTAACTTAATGTCTGCCATGCTTTCTTATGTTCCTGGGCTAAATGCATGTTTTGCTAATGGACTGAGTTCACATTTTGCTAATAGTTTCTGCATACTTAGACATCATCTCTGTGCTCCTCTACGCTCCCTTTGCAAAGGGCCTCTTCCAAATATTTTACACAGGCCCAACTAATAATCCGTCTTGACGATTAAATTATTTCAGTATCAGGAAGCTTCTATCAGCAAGTTCTCAAGACCATTACCTTTTACATAAGATGTATGTAATACCAATATGGATAATATGTTTCTGTCCTTGTAGCATGTAATTTTTAATAAGTAATTCAGCAGAATAATTTAAAAGTTAATTTTCATCTAATTTCCAAAAATCACACGTAGAACAAAAAGTAAATTTCCCGGTAAAAGTTAATACTGTTATGTCCTAAGGTACATCACCATATTACTAAATTATACATTTAGTGAACCATGTTAACATTAGTGGCTGAACTAATATGTGATAATTATAGCCTGATTTTAAAAATATTCTTTTAAAAATCTTAAACAATTTACAGTACCAGCAGATATATGCAACAAAAGAAATAAATATTACACTGCCAAACTTAAGTTTAAAAAATAAATACTACATCACCCTAAGCCAGTAGTGGCGAACCTATGGCACGCGTGCCAGAGGCGGCACTCAGAGCCCTCTCTGTGGGCACGTGCACCATGCCCCGGAGATGGCAACCATCCTCTTCAACCAGCCGCCCGCTAACTTACCAAGGTTCCACGTGGCCGGATGCATCCCAGCACCCATGCCGCCCCGGCCCCTGCCTCACCTTGCCCTGCAACAATGGCACCCCCGCTCTGCCTCGCCTCACCTCACCCCGCAGGATGAGCCTCCTGCCCACTGCCCCACCTGCCAGAGACCCCCTGGATCTCCCCCAATCCTGCCCAGTCCCCACAGGTGTCCCTCCCCAGGAGCAACATCGAGCTGGCCACGCCCACCCATCTACCATGATCACTGTAGCCATGCCCACCCAGTTGGCCACGCCCACTTGGCACCCGGCGATACATAAGTGGTTTTGGGTTGCAGTTTGGGCACTCGGGTCTCTAAAAGGTTCGCCATTACTGCCCTAAGCTCTGGTTAATGTCAATGAAACAATCAGGATGCTTACACTTTGTATGAAAAAAAAACTATCAGCATTGCAAGAAGTGCTTTAAGGTATATGAATAGATTTTACAAGAACATTTAAGACCGATGAAAGAAGATTCATCTGGGATGTACATATTAAAATATTTTATATTCATACTCAAGTGAGTATTCTACGTTTTTACTGCAGTATGTTCTATATATAGGCTCAGCATCCAATAAAAATATGCACTGATAAATATTTATCTGTAGTTTTAATAATGGCACTATTTCACTAAATGTATAGAGAAGCTAGGTGAGTTTGGAAGATAACAAAATGAAAGAAAGCAAATTTCAGAGTGAAAAACCTAAAAACTAAATGCTATGAAAAGAATGAATTATCACTTGCCTATAAAGTTATTACAACTCTGAGCAGTGTATTAACAAAACATAGATAAGCTCTGATAACTCGAACCAGTTTGGTGTGATGGTTAAGGCACCAGGCAAGACAGCAGGAAACGTTTGAGTTCTACTTCTGGCTCAGGCATGAAAATCAGCTGGATGGTTTTGGGTCAGTCACTCTCTCTCAGCCCAATTAACCTCACATGTGTGTTGTTGTGAAGAAAATAGGAGGAAGAAGGAGCATTAGGTAAGTTCACCATCTTGATTATTTTTTATTATTGTTATTATTATTTATAAAAATAGTAAAGGTGAGATAAAAATAAATTAAATATATATGTAGTTCAGTAGTAATGTCATGCAAAAATTCATAAAATCCAAAAAGGAAAAGTTATAGAACTGTGTTAGCCCAAATTCATACTATGTGAAATTCAAGTGTTAGGCAAAAAACAAATACATGCATTCATTTGCCGTTAACTCAAATAGAGATGATCAAATAGCTTAACCTAGGGATGGCAAACTCATAACATCACGTGACGTGTCGTGATGTTTCGCGACTTTTTTTCCATTGCCGGCAAAGGGGTGGGTGTGGTTTTGGCATAGCGCATCCGGCCCATGGGCCGGCAGTTTGACACCCCTAACCTGTCTCACAGGATTGCTGTTGTGACAAAATTATTAGGTATGTTTGTTGTCTTAAATTGATTAACACATACATACATACATACAACATACATACATACGGAATAAAAATCTACCAACATCATTACCACCTATGGGTTTAGATGCTGAAAATCCAGTTTACCTAAGAATTCAGATGGAAGTATAATGGTAATTACAGTTATAGTAGTTCATTTCTCTACTGCCCTTCCCCCAAAAAAGCATTTGACATTAAACAATTTAAATATGCTAAAGCAAAATAAGCTAAAAACCTATATCAGAACATTTAACTATATTGTACCCCCTGCCTGTACTTGGCATCCCCCCCCATTATTTCCGTTACACACACACACCAGTACTCCATAACACTCTCTGCCCATGGGCTTACTAGCAAATTGCCTGGGACTTGTGACTTTCTGCTGGTTTTCCCATTGACTTGTTGTGGTCAATAGATCCTTGCTTAATGATAGCAAACAGGGAATGCTGGGATTACTGTTGCTAAGCAACATACTCACATGACATCATGCTTTATAATCACATTACGTAGCAATGGAAATTGCAGTCTCAACTACAGTTGTTAAGCAAAGACTACCTGTAGGGAGGCCACATTCAGAGAGTCTTCACTTAAATCAGATAATGTCAGGCCCCCAAACCCAAGAAAGACATGGGGAGGTTCTTCCAAGTAGATTTCTTTTTTAATGTTCAATCTACACCTATAGAAAACAGCTTGCCACTTTAAGGCACTCTGTTATCTACATCAAGCATATATACACAGGGAATGATTAAGCTGGGGCTGTCTTCCCCCCTTTTTCTCTCAACACAAACCATCTGAACTGAGCTACCTCTTATTCCTCTGGAATGCACCCCCTCCCTCCTGGGCATTTAACAGTGTTTCTCAACCTTGACAATTTTAAGGCATGTGGACTTCAACTCCCAGAATTCCACAGCCAGCAATGCTGGCTGTGGAATTCTGGGAGTTGAAGTCCACATGCCTTAAAATTGTCAAGGTTGAGAAACACTGCAAGTACATTCCATCACATCTAATAAGCTATTTGGAGCTATAAAGGCAGAAATCAGACTTCTGAGCAAAATTCCTGTTTAAGAACAGGAATGCTATAATCTCTGACTAACCTCAATAATCAAATTCCAAGTTGCACGTGGGACTCACTGAAATTCCCCAGTTCCTTGGAAAGACGTCTGCGTAGAAAGAACTGCAGCACTTCCTTCACAACTCAGCCCATTACAACAAGAATGAGAAAGCTTTGCTTGGGTTCCTATTAATTTGTTAGACAGAAAGTTGGATATTTGGCATTAGTGGGTGTTGCAGTTGTTCCAGTAATGGTGGCTGGACCTCGGACTAGCAATGATAAAGCGGCATCCTGTTGAGGCAGACTTTGTCCTTCCTGCAGTGTTAGTAGTTCATTGTCTGGGTTAACCAGTCCACCTGGGTTGCAACTTGGCAGCTTGATCAATGATTAACAGGGTAGCAACAAGATCACTAATCACTGTCTATTTGTGGCCATACGCTGGTAGCATTAGGATAGGATGTGGGCAGATTGTGCTATTATGCTTAAGCCGGATAGAGCTGTGTATTTGGCTCTCCAGACTCAACCTGTCTGAAATTTGCTTGTGCAATGGTAAACTTACCAAAACAATTCACTTAGCTACAAGGCTTCATTGCAGACAAGAATGAAGCCAACTGCAATATGAGGTCTAACTACCACTATATGCAGCATTCAAAGTATGTGAATGTATGTGTATGTGTGCATTCACACATATATATACACCAGTTACCAAGGTGGATAATAATAGATGATTTTTTTAAAAAAAAAATCAAAAAATAGGATTTTTTTCATTGTTATCAAATTTATTTTAATAAAATGCTTTCGGAGTAAAAATCTATCTAAATATAGTCTTCTATTTAAGATACATTAATAATATAGTTTATTCAGCATCAAATGGAGCTTAGTTATGTAGCATGAGGCTGTATGAAGTTTCCTATTTAGAATAATAAGCTATCAGGGTAATAAAACAGCGATATCAGAACTGATTTTAGGTTAATAGGTTAATCACACATAGTTGGAGAACTACTCAAATTCTTTTATTTAATTAAAACACTTAGAGCCTGGTACAGATGCATTTCTCTTCAAACAATCATACAGTTTGTAGCGTATATAGATTTGCAAAACAATGGGATAAAGGAATATTCCTGAACTTTGTTTTATGATTTATCTCATGGTTACTGTGAAATTGTGTGACTGCATCAAGGCAGTTCATGTTATCTCAGCTTGCAGAGCTTGGATTCACTGAACAAGTTTACCAAAAATGTAAATATTGCAGAATATACATAACTAAGCTTCATTTCATGCTGAATAAACTAAATTATTAATGTATCTTAAATAGAAGAGGCGTTGTCTTACCTGAACGCCTTTTCTCAGCATGGAGATGGAGAATCCACCAATGGATTTAGACTGTTCCTGCCCAATAGATCAAGTCAGCCAAAGTTGCAACGCCTATCCTGAACTAGAGTGTCCCAGTCTCGACATGGGCGAAGCCATTGACTGACAGCAAGACGTGTTGGCTCATGAATCTAACCCTAGGCCTAAACAACCTGCGAGGGCGGGAGTGGATTCTCCATCTCCATGCTGAGAAAAGGTGTTCAGGTAAGACAACGCCCCTTCTCCAGGACTGGAGATGGAGAATCCACCAATGGGACATACCAAAGCCTACTGTCCCTGAGGGAGGGGAACAGGCCGGTCCGGTATGACACCTCAAGGTATGACCTGTTGGAGAACTCTCCTGCCAAAGGAGGCCTCTGCCGAGGTGAACAGGTCTATTTTATAATGATGTATAAAGGGCGATGGTGAAGACCACGCGGCTGCCCTACAAACGTCCTCGATGAACACCTGAATGGCCCAAGCCGCAGAAGTAGCCGCACTACGGGTTGAGAGGGCCGTGACACATAGTGGAACCGGCAATGACTCAGACTGGTATGCCCCCGCAATACACGCCCTGATCCACCTGCCAATCATGGCATGGAGGATACTTTTCCGACCCTTAGAAGAAGGATGGAAGGAAACAAAGAGGGCTTCGGAGTTGCGGAAGACAGCTGTCTGTATGATGTAGCAACGGAGTGCTCGGCGAACTTCCAGAAGGTGCCATTGCTGTTCCAGGGCATGAGATGGATTAGGGCAGAAATCTGGAAGTACGATTTCCTGAGCCCTGTTGAATAGAGAGTTAACCTTAGGGACAAAGGTAGGGTCCAGACGAAGGACCACTTGGTCCCGGTGAAAGATGCATAAGTCATCCCTGGTGGAAAGTGCCGTTTTGGGGCCTATGAAGTAGGCAAGACCTCCTTCTGCGTGGGAGTAAGTAAGCTCTGTCTACAGCCCGCAGGGAGATGACTGTCAGACCTGTAAGCCTGAATGGATGTGGCCTAGCTGCCTTTCAAAATGGCGGCCATACTGGTTCCTTTATATAAATGAGAGAATGAAAGGAAGAAAGAGAATCTGGCCTTCCTTGGGCGAGGAATTACCAATAGGGTAAGGAGGTCAGAGGAGGGATCCCCCCTCCCCCCTCTGTGAGCGCCCCAACAGCCTGGCAAATGGAATGAAGGCCGCACAGGCCTCAAAATGGCAGCCGCTGAGGTAAAAAAGGGGCCTTGTGCAGACCACAAAATGGCGGCTGCACGAGGGAGTAGTGAACAGAGGGCTGTTGAAGAGAGAGGCTAGCTCAATCGCTTCCCCTGTTCTCGCCTGGGGTCCCCTGATGATCAGGTACAGATTGGGGGAGCCTGCCTGGGTACTTCCCAAACATGCGCTAGCCTCAGACGGCCGTTTTCGGCTTGTGCGCACGTCTGGCTGTTACAGCTGCAGCTGCAGTCTCCGCCAGGAAGAGAAGCTCGAAAATTGAGATCAGAAGACTGGAAGAGTGGAAAACAGCCCTCTCCAAACGTGCGCTAGCTTCAAACAGTCGTTTTCAGCTTGCGCGCGTGTTTGGCCACTGGAGCTGCAGCCGCAGGCTCTGGTAAGAGGAAAAGGCTTCAAAGGAAGAAATGGGCTTCCCGGACACTCTGGCTTTAAACGGCCATTTTCAGCCTATGCGCGCAATTGGGCACCGAAGCTGCAGCTGCAGGCTCCAGTGAGAGGAAAGGCTTCAAAGTAAGAAATGGGCCTCCTGAACGCGCGCTGGCTTCAAACGGCCATTTTTAGCCTATGCGCGCGCTCGGTAGCTAGAGCTGCAGCCGCAGACTTCAAGAAGAAGGGGAGGCTTGAGAGGGCGATTCTGGGAGGCTTATAAGAAGATTGGATTTTTTTAAGGTGGCACAATTTAAACCAGTGGTTCTCAACCTGTGGGTCGGGACCCCATTTGGGGTCGAACGGCCATTTCACGGGGGTCACCAAACAAGGCTATCCGCCATTTTTCCCCCCTTTTCTTTGACCACACCCCTGGCACCCGGTGATGTATAAGTGGTTGGGGGTCACCACAACATGGGGAACTGTATTATGGGGTCACGGCATTAGAAAGGTTGAGAACCACTAATTTAAACAAAAACAATTAACATAAAGTGATAGTGCACAGAAGGATCAAATGCCCCTACACAGATAAGAGCAATCCAAATAAATCTCTCAAAGATATTTTTTAAAATAAGGCAAGGGGAATGTTGCCATTATTTAAGAATAATGAAGTAAAGGTACAGGTAGTCCTCAGTTTATGATGGCAAATGACCAGTTTTTCTGTTGCTAAGCGATTCAGTTGTAAAGTGACATTTTACACAACTGCATTATTTAGTGATGACAATTCCAGCAGTCCCGGTTGCCGCCATAACCTCAAGACTGAACAGGTTATTAAACAAAGATCTCACATGACCATGACATAGGAAGAGATGGGAGTACCTGGCAAGCAGGCTGGCGAGCGAGAGCTGTAGATGAGAACTATGGGCAGTTGAGGGTACCATGGGCAGGTGTTATAGACCACAGGCAGATATGTGGGTGCTTCGGATGGATGAAAAAATTGGTTGGAATGGGAGGGACTTGAGAACTTCTGCCAGCTTCTCCAATGACTTTGCTCATGGGGAGAAGCCAGAAGGGAAGGTCACAAATCTCAATCATGTGACCACCATTGTAACTGCAAGCTAGTTTCCAAACACCTGAATTGCAGTCACTTGTCTGCAGGGATGCTGCCATGGCCACAGCTTCCTGGGCCCATTTTAGCATCATTGTACCTTTGAACAGTCACTGAATGAATAGTTGTAACCTGAGGACTACCTATAGAATTGGATATCACCAGGATGTTGGTAATACTCAGAAGCAAAAATATCGTGTTATTAAGTCTAGTAAATTAGACAGTATTGGAGCCCAAAAACTTTCAAAATAAGTGATCCTGTTACTAAGCACCACCACTTGAAAGTACAATTCAATGATGCCATTTCCCAAATCTCTCATGCTATGCAACTGATGGCCATGGTCAATTGCACCAAAATTCACTGAGATTCAAAATAGTCATACTTGTCTGTCAGTTCCTTGGTGAAGATCAGCTAACAGGCCGACCAAGAGCCAACAGCCTACTCTAATACCAGCTTGAAAAGGGTTTAGATCAGCGGTTCTCAACCTGTGGGTCGCGACCCCATTTGGGGTCGAATGACCATTTCACGGGGGTCGCCAAACAACGCAGTCTGCCATTTTTTCCCCCTTTTCCTTAGCTGTGCTACTCCTTTTTATTCTATTGGCTTTTGAAAGTCAATAGAATAGACTCTCTTGAATAGAGTCTAATTCTATTAGCTTTCAAAAGCCAATAGGAATTGTCCAGGCTGTCTTTGCCCTGCTGAGCCCGCCAAAAGTCCCATTCTGCAAACGGTGCTGCAAGATGTCTGCAGCGAAGGCGAGCTGTCTGGAAGTTTCCACCCCTCCCTGCTGAGCAATTACTAAAAATGTAAGTAAAAGAGGGCCGGGGTGGGAGGTGGAAGGCTGGCGGGCGCAGGGAAGGTTGCTGGCGCGCGTGGGGCCCGGCGGGTGCCTTACCTCCCTTGGACTGGGCCAGCTGGTGGCCCAGGCGGTGGTCGCATGCGCGGCGCTCCTGGGGAGGGAAAGTCCTCGACTTACAACCAGTTGGGTAGTCCTCGACTTACAACCGGTTGGGGGGTCACGGCATTAAAAACGTTGAGAACCACTGGTTTAGATAATCTGTTTCCTCCAAAACCTCTGATTGCCCACCACTCTCTCCACAACAGTTTCTAATCTCTGGAATTTGAAAAATTAACCACAATAATCCATCAATAAGGAATCTAAGATAGGCTTCTTAAAAAGAGTTACTTTAAGATAGCATTAAACTAGATAGCAGTCTAGTCCTTCAGGGAGGCCTTAATGATGAACTGGCCAAATCTAACAACTCCCTATATGACAAATCAGCTTCATTGGGCAGAGATCCCAAAAACAGTGA